TGTTGTAGTAATCCTGCATTACAAATACAAAATTAATTAACCTCCCTTTCAGCTTTTGTCTTTTGGAACAATAGAGAGGCATCGGAAATTTGGAGTGCTTTGTTTAGAAATATTTTAAAAAAAATATACTTTCTGAAATCTGACAATCAAGTTGTCTTTGGATGCCTAAATCTAATTTTCCCAATTTGGAGAATATATTAGAAAAGGTTGTGGAGGCTTCTTTTTTAACAAAAAATGTTTTACTATATAGGATTATTTGCATATTCAAATAAAAATGTATACTTTTATTACTCTTTCTTGATCTTTAACCTAACCATATGGAGTATACAATTTCTGTCACCTCTTGATACAGTCTGATATATGGGTCAACCAATTGTATAGCTAGCTGATTTTTAGTGTCTGCTATCAATGCAGGTAACCATCAATTATTTGTTAGGCAAATTGGGCAAGAAATACTCTGATACAGTTGGAGTTGTTGATCTTGGAGGTGGATCTGTTCAAATGGCGTATGCCATCTCTGAGTCAGATGCCCAAAAGGCTCCAAAGGTATCAGATGGAGAGGATACATATGTCCAGGAAATGTATTTAAAGGGGACAAAATACTACCTTTACGTTCACAGGTCCATCTCATCCTCTATGCATAATTATGTGATGATTTTAGAGAATGTCAGGGTACACATTTGCACTCTCCAAATAATTTCTTGAATCTTTGATCCAACTTTTTAATCAGGATGAATCTCTGATCCAACTTGTGGGCAAGAACATATTTCACATGTTATATGGAGTGGGCTTATCTTGTGTTTTATCATCTTTATCCTATAAAAGCTTAATGTGATATATGTATATTGTTTACAGCTATTTGCACTACGGCTTACTAGCAGCTCGAGCTGAGATCTTGAAGGCGACCTATGAATCTGGAAATCCTTGCATCTTGGGAGGCTATCATGGTATTTACTATTTTTCTCCTGGTGCAATGATCATTCTATACTTAAGTTTTAATGCAGTGCTTTCTGGTAGCATCATTTCTCTCTCTAAGAAGTAAAAAAGGAGGTTAACTAGAGAAAAAGCCCCTTCCCTTACCTGAATTTCATATTTGACCTTATTCACTGATAAGGTGCAGAAAGTAGGAGCACTGAATCCTTAATTTACATTGAGTCTTACTGTAATTTGAAAAATATGTATTTATTTTCCTGTATTAGCAAGTATACAATTAAAGATGAACAATGTTTTCTTTCAAGGGTCATACAAGTATGGAGGAGCAGTTTTTCCAGCATCAGCGATGTCTCAAGGTTCAAGCTTGAGTAGTTGTAGGGAGGTTTCTCTGAAGGCTCTGAAAGTTAATGAACCAACATGTACCCACATGAAATGCACCTTTGGTGGGGTGTGGAATGGTGGAGGGGGAGATGGCCAGAAGAATATGTTTGTTGCTTCATTTTTCTTTGACAGAGCTGCTGAGGTATGAATCACTCGAGTTAAGCTGCTAATGGAAATTTAATGAGTTAGAGAAGTACTCTAATTTTGTGGGAAATTTTTTCTTCCTCTAATGTCTGACACAAATTTTATATGTTGTGGGCATAGGCTGGTATGATCAATCCAAGTTTAGCTGTGGCAAAAGTTCGCCCAGTTGATTATGAAAGTGCAGCCAAGCGTGCTTGTGAAACTGGACTTGAGGGTGCCAAATCTGCATTTCCTCGTGTGGATCCGGATAACTTGCCATACTTGTGCATGGATCTTGTCTATCAGTACAGTCTACTTGTAGATGGATTCGGTGAGTAAGACTAGGTTCATATTTCAGTAAGTAGACACTACTTTCATTTCAGTGCATTTTGAGTGATTCACTGCTATTCTTTACTGAGCAGGGCTTGATCCTCAGCAAGAAATCACATTGGTGAAAAAGGTTCAGTACAAGAATTCCCTTGTTGAAGCAGCGTGGCCATTAGGCAGTGCCATTGAAGTTGCATCATCATTGACTTAACTGGGAAATGCAAGATCCATTCATGCAATTTTGGCTTTAAAATAGCTTATGATTTTCAACTATATTTTTGACCTGCAGCTGTCGATATACCTATTGGGCTAACATTCAACAAAAGGATTGCCACTTGGGTGCCAAAGTCCAAGCAGGTTGAGATTCTTTATCTTTCCCTTTTTATTGGAGGGAATTACGAATAGTGATAAATCTGTTTGTAATCATGTGCTATCAGAATTATGCACTACATAAATGAGATCAATTTTTTTATTTCCACGCAATTTACATTACATAAAACTCACAGATTACGCAGCATAATTTAACAGCACCAACTCACAGCTCTGGCTAACAAGCAGATGACATATTCTAGTGTCAGCTAGGAGATAGGCTGTACCTAAAGATTCAACCTTAATGGTAGCTTCCTCTTACCAATCACTCCTAGAGCCCGTTTGGATTGACTTAAAAAAAGTAGCTTTTAAGTAAAGTGCTTAAAAGCACTTTTTAAGTGCTGGAGCTGGTTTTATAAATAAGCAGTTATGTGTTTGGATAAAAGTGTTGGAGCTGAAAAAAACTATTGAAGTGTTTGGTAAACAAGTTTTAGTAAGCATTTTTTCTATTAAAATTACTGAAATATCCTTAAAGCTGTTAAACTTATAAAGAAGCTTATTACTATAATATTTTATTTTAAATAATATAAATACATAATAATTAATATTTTAATTCACTTTTAATTTAAAAAACTAAAAGTAGTATGAAGAAAGCAGACAAAAACTAACCCGATTTCGGTATGAAGAAATCAAACGAAAACAATAATTAATATTCCAAAGAAAATTAGTAAAAAAACAAAAAATAGAAAGCAAACAAACGTTACCATCTGGAGAAATATGGAAAGAAAAAGAGTAAAATGAAGAAAGTAGATGCTGCAATTTTGGGAGGAAGAAGACGGCAGCAATTTCAAGTTTGGTACTGAGGGGTAATTATGAGATTAAGAAAAACTATAAGGGATAAGAATGTAATATCCTTGGTCAAAGCAATATTGTGTAGTACACGGCTTTAGCCTTAAGCTAGGTTGGGCTGTAGTTCTTGTATTGGGCGAACCCAAGCAGAAATTGAAAGTACCAGAGATTCCTAGAGGCATACCATCAGAAAAACTTCCTTGACCAATTGGGTAGATCAAGAAAACTGCGGTAGCAGCTGCAACAGGAGCTGAATATGCAACATCAATCCATGAGCACATTGAACTATCCATGTGGCTGAGAGCCCTCACAACCCAGGCACAACGACGCAATTATCAGGGGCGCGCTCTACCACTGAGCTAATAGCCCGTCGTGCGAGCCTCCCACTGGGGGCCCGCTATGCCAAAAGCGAGAGAAACCCCATCCTTACATATGGATTCCTACATCATTACATTCCATTTAGGATTAGGAATACGCGTAATCGGACCTGCTTTTTACATATCTCTATTGGGACCCTATTCACCTCTTTGAGTGAATCGAGAAATAGGTTTGATTGTCCATCTTTTTGATATATTTTAAGCCAATTTTAAAAAAGTTGGGTTTAGCCAACTTGTTGGTTTTGGCTTTTTTTAAGCGGATTTTAGCTTTTTTTAAGCCATTTTTCTAGTTGCCAAAGCTTTCAAGCCCATCCAAACAGGCTCCTATACTCTCAGCTAAATACTACAGACAGCGGACACTATTGAATTCTACCAGGGTTGTACCTAGTGATGGCAAAATGGTTAAAAGAAAATTATTATTCAACCATATTATCCATTAAAAAATAGGTGGGATAATGAACTTTTTAAAAACGGGTCAAATATGGATAAGAATCATATTATCCACTTAGAAAATGCATAACTAATGAGTTTAACTTTTACATTTGTAAAGCTTCAAATTGGGGGTTTCTCAAGTTTGGGAGACTAGGGATTCTCCTAAAAGTGATCATATTCAAGAAGCCATGGATATTATCGTCCGGTTAACCAGTTTTTTATCCGTGTTAAATATGGGTCGGGTCGAATAATTTATACATTTTTATATTATATGTTTTCGACCTGTCCATATCCGGCCCGTTCGCCACCCCTAGTTGGACGTGTTGCTTACCAGCTCTCCTTCCTCCCCATGTTTCCTTACATCCAACCTTTCATGTTTCTCAGCTTAAACCTTGCTCTGGTATACCGTCCCCACGACCTTCAATCACCCTTCAGTCATTGATGTGTCCAGTCCTTATTGTTCTGAGCCTCAATTCACTCTAAATAGGCGCATAATCAAGCAAAGTACCACGGCTGCGCCCCAGATATTTTCCTCATTCCTTCCGTATATTTTAAGGAGAGGGCAATGTTTCTATAGTGATCAACTATTAAGCTTTGGGAGATTGTAGCCAGGCTTGCTGGGTGGTTTATATGGGAGTTAATTAAATATAAGTTCGACCGTGTTACACTTTGATCCTGGCGAGTTCTGGATCTAATTATTTGTTATTTCATTTGAGTTTTGTCTTCTTTTAATCAGATAAATTGAGATTTCATTAATAAATGCATCCACTAGATGTAGTAGTAATTACAAATGTGAGTCCTTTTAAATGTTTCCGGAAAAAAGTTATGGTGATTACTCCAGCAAAAAATGTTTGTGAGACATGTATACTTGAGAAGGTGTCTGTCTTTAGTTTGTTAGAATGTGACTAATTGAGGCACTGACTATCGCAGCTCGTGCTTGGGGTCATCATTGAAGGCAGGAACATTACTTGTTAGAATTTCAACACCTTCAAACGTTAAAAGATATTCAAATTCAGTGGATGATCCAAAATGGTGCTGCCCGGTACAAAGTATACAAGGTCAAGAGTATTTTGTGGGTTCAGGATAATTAGGACTAAAAATTAATTCAGGTGTATTCAAAATAATTCAGATATGTACACAGAATAATTAATGTCAAAGCCAGGGGTCCAGAGGTGGATATTATGCCCATATACAAACTCTTGAATCAAGAATATTTTACCATCTTGAACATAGGCTTAAAGAGAGTTGAGCAAAGGGAGAATTGTAGAATATTGGAGAAATAATCTTTATCCATCGTTTGAGAACTTGATGATTTTCTATTACATCTTCTTTTACACTGCCACAAATTAACCTCAACACTATTGAGGAACTACAAACTAGAATGTAAATAAACTAGTCTAAATTACTTTGTAAGAAGATGAAAAAATGAATTATCACTATAAGAAAACAAGAGAGCTATATGTGATGTGATGATGATTTCTTCTAAGCAACATTACAAATATGATTGTCTCACATGAGAATTAGGCATGAATGCTAAGATGATGAGAAGAAGCAGTATGAAAATGGGGACAAACAGCAACATGAAAGGTGGTGGTGGCAATGGTGGAAGAATCAATGGCAGAAGTAGCAAAGATGCTGTTAGACAAAGGAGCAGAAGCACTGACTCTAAGCTGAAATAGCTCATGGATAACATTCTTTTGCTATTCTCTTGTTTGAATGAATCCATCTTCTTTCCTTGTACATTCTTTCTTTGGACACCATCAGACTTGTTTACTCTTTTCAAATCCATAATGTTGCTCAAATACTTATGTTCCAAATTAATAAAGCCGTTGGATGACCTCAATTTAGCTTCAGATGATTCCATGTGCATGCTAGACTCTTAACTAGAGGCCTCGGGTTCCGAACTAAAAAAAATTCTTTTGTTGGAGAAATTCCTGTTAGGGTGTGAACCTACGTCCTACACGGTGCGAATTAAGATTAATCTGGACAATTTTGTGTTTGATGCTTGTAATTCTTTGACTTGAACCAATCTTGATTTTGGATCTTGTAAATCTTGTAACCTCCAGTAAATATATGGAAGAGTTGTATCAGCAAGTAGTTTCTCTTCAACCAGCTAGTATATGTTAAATTGTTACTGAAGGGTATGGTGGAACGTAAAGAAATACAGAAGGAAATGAAGCAGAAGATTTGGTATAGGGGAGAGGAATGAGGAAGCAGAATGAAAGGAAATGAGTTGTGTTCTTGATTTAAAAATTTGATTGTTGATACTAATGTAATGTTTCTTGGTTTTGGGAATTGTGGGATATGGCCTTTGGTTGGGATTTGGATGGATATATGGTGGTTACACTATATCTTTGAGAAATATTATACTACTGGTTTCTGCTGATGTATTATATATTCCTAATTATGTTAGATTAGTCATTAGAGAGAGGGGTTGAAGTGGGGTTGGATTCAATGAATTACTTAATCAAGTGGGGACAAGGTGATATGCATGTTGATGTTTTTGGCAATAGGGGGATGTCTCTTTGTCCGAGGTTCTTCACCCCTGGACTACATCACCATGTCTCTTTCCCCCTTCTTCTTGTCCCCTTGTCTTTTCCAACTTCCAGCAACAACAAAAAATAATTATTTTTTATTCAATATTTACTTCAAATTAAGCTGCACGTCTCCAACATAATTTCTAATCATTTCAACCTAAAAACCCTTTGGCAAATGAAGAATTCAAAAGAGGGAAAAATGCTGTATTGCACTGGAGTATCTTTGTAATTATAGCTAGAATATACTTGAACCTCTACTTTTATATAACAGAAAATACAAACATTTTCTCATGTAAAAAACAATTTTCAATACAAAATTAAAAAAAGGGGATTTGCACCTCGTACCCTCTTTATAAATCCAATTATCCATTATCTTCATTGTTCGCTACAATATATATATATATATATATATATATATTTACCCGAAAATGATACAGTTGAATTTATACGTGGTTTCTAGACAAGTAAACTAATTTGATCTTGAAATAATAAGATAATCGAGGAATTATGCAATACTTAGCCTTTAAAATATAGACAAAACGGCAAAAGTGACAGCTCCAGAAAATTCGTGTCCTTTACAATGATAACTGAGCTCACTATTTATAGTTGTGCTTGTGTCTAGGAAGGGAGGTTCTAGGATCGTGCCCTCCTTTAATGTCAATTATGAGGGTCATTGATGAAGATGTAACGGTGAACATAAATGCTAAATTCTCTGTAATGGGTCGTAGCTCTTAATGCCGCAAAATATTCTTTATTAAATGCTACCAGGCGCAGAGCATTTAATACACATTTACGAACGTTATCCCTTCCGGTGACAAGCGGAATAGCCGCTTTCAATCTTCGGCCATCTCCATCTTGGGTTCCATGTATCCTTCCTTTAGATGACCACGTATCGTATCATATTTTATCCTATATAGATAGTCCTCCTGCTTTCCGGTGACATAACTTTGTGTTATCGGAAAGTTGGTAGAAACACTCGTTTGGCGGGAATTACTATAACTCCCTCTGAAGGCTTCTGACGGTTGATTAGGCGCACGTATCTCCGCATTTAATGCCCCGAACACGCATCATCCCACGATTCAGCATAGCTTTTGCCGATTATCGAGGTAATCATAGCCATGAATTTAACCGCCAAACATTTACTCATATGCATCATCCTTCTCCTTTGCACTTCATAATTTTTCGAGCTTCTGATTTGCATATTTGTTCTCCATCTTTTCTCTAATTCTATTCAAACAAAAAACCTTTTCCTTCTTCTATTCAATGGCTTCTTCTTCAAAGCGCGCACCGGTTCTTCAAAGAACAAGAACAAGGCCGAAGACTTTGCTCCTCCAACAGTGGGTTCCATCATCCCTAGAAGACTCATACCACAAAAGACTTCGAAGAGAAATTTCCCTACTGCTAACCCTCGTACATGAGTTGTCAAGAGGTACCCTTATTACATTTGTCTTTCTAGTATTCCTGCTATGAAGGAAGACTGCCGCTGCCATGAGTTGGATATCATTTCTCCTGATCTATCGGAGCGAGTGACCCTTCCCAAGGAGGGTTTTACATATTTTTACACGCATCCCTTTACTTTGGGTGCGTTTTCTTTGAGTGGAGAGCTTGATTCTGTGATTGCGGAGTTTTGCCTCCGCTACGAAGTGTGTTTGGAACAGGTAAGTCCTTCAGTGTGGAGGACGGTTGCCTGCCTTTGGCGTTTGTGCCAGGAGACCGGAGAGGAGCTAACCTTAGCTTATATGATGAATCTCTACTCTCCCAAGATTTTCTGTGGGGGTATGATAAACCTCTGCAAACGTGACCACCATGCTTTGTTGACTAGCATGGATGATGATAACGATCGTGGGTGGATGGAATGATTTGTTGCAGTTTCCACCAATAATATCATTCCGACAATGGCTTCATCCTTTCCGGCCACTTGGAACCGCACTCGGTAGATCTTCATATAGTATTTTCTTTTACTAAGTATTCCTCTATGGCCGTATTGGCCCTTTACTCTTCGCATGTTCCAGCAACTCGATGGATCCCACCGGTGGTAGAAGGCTTGTACCGGCGGGTTCAGAAGATCTTGGACGTTAAGACGCCCGAAACTCGTTTGTGGAAAGAACTGGGTCTTAAATACGGGTGGAAGGCCAAAAATCATGGTAATTTAAACTTACCTTGTTTCCATTTTGTATGTGAAGAACTTGGTTGAACCCTTCTGACTTGTCTACGATATTAGGTCTACCCGCGGGCTCTGTTGCTGTCCCCGAGGAGGACGTCTTGGCTGATCCTGTTGATACAGCGAAGCTGCTTCAGGAGGCACTTACTCAAATAGGTATCTCCGGGCCTGCTTCGATCACAAATACTTTACCACGGAGACCCGGGGCGAAGAATAAGCAACCAAAAAGAAGGCGTTCTTCTGTGGCTGGGGAAAAGAATAAGAGGGCGAAGACTATTTCCCCTGAGTCGTCTCTATAAGTTGTGATCACTAGCCCTCCTCCGGGGCAGGTCATAGACACCGTAATGGTCGACGATGATGGAGAAGCTAGTGATGATGGAGCTTCTCTACATAGAAGGTGACGTTCATCATTAACACAACAGAATGCTCAATCTGTTGAGTTAGTTACACCAACCGAGGACGACGCCTCGGTGCTTTGGGGGGAGTTTGATTTAGTGGAAAATGCCAACTCTCGCTATCGAGTCTCAATTGTTGTGCCCGGCATTACGGGGCTGAGTACCGAGTCCTTGCCATCTTTGGTTGGCGAGCATCCAACTACTAGCACTACGTTTGATGCAGCTGCTTCACACCCTTCAACTCCATCAGCTTCATCCCCATCTTCACCAGCACCAGCAACTGCTACATCACTTCCTTCTTCATCCACTCTTCCACAGCAACTGCTACATCATCTCCACTGGCCACATCTAATCACGAAGGAGATGTTCCTCCTCCCCAGTCCCCTGTTCATGGGAATTTGGGGCAAAATTATGCTTCCCCTTCTGAAGATCCTCATAGGAGGAGGAATGTAACTATTTCAATCTCTATCGGATGCAACCTGCTATCCCGGGCGGTGGAGCTTGCTAATTATCTGAAGCCTTTGGCTTCAGAGAAAGACTGGGAAAAGTTTCAAGCACTCTCGGGGGAGTGTTTGTTGAACTACGCCATGCACAATGCCGCAGTGGTGCGTTCCTTTCTTCCTTTGTTATTTCTTCTAATTTTGTATGAATGTATTCTAGGTTTTACTTCTGTTGTTTTGTAGGCCAACTTTCTTGCTTCCGAGGGCCTTCAGAGGCGTGAGAAGGAGGAACTTACTTCTAAGCGGGATCAACTTTTGGTGGAATGGGACCAAACCGTTCTCCGCCTCTCGAAACTGGAAACCAAAGCTACTGAGGTTGTTGTTTTGGAGGCTCATTTGCAGCAAAGCGAGCACGAGGTGGTAACCCTTAGCCAAGAAATTGGCCCGTTGAGGGTTTGATTTGATTAATCCAAGCCAAATGGGCTGAAGTCCAGGACGTCGCTTTTGCTGTAACCGAGCGCGAGGCTGCCACCCCTGAAAGAGTAACTGACGTATAGGCAGCCTTGAACACCAAGATCGAAGAGCTTGTCGCAACGGGGGCGAAACTGGCCCAGTTGGAAGATAAGTACAGGAAAATTATCGAGCATAATAGGCTCTTTAGTTCAATTGTCCGCGACCTTGATGTTAGCCTCAGATCTGTTAGGTCCGCCCAGGAAAGCCTTTCTCCCGAGGTAACTCAACTCAAAGAAGAACTTAAGCGACGAGCTGCTTCCCTCGTTGTTGAGAAGACTTACGCCATATACAGCATGAGGAGAAAACCCTTGGAAGAGGCCAAATCAGGCATTATTGATTTTGATGCCGAAATTGCTAAGCCTCGCGAGCTTGAGTTAGCTATTAAAAATGGGTTCCCTGCGCAGTCTGATGCTCCTGGTTCTTCTGGTTCCGGTTCTGAGTTCTTGGGAACTGAAAAGGAATCGGAGGGCAATGTTGTTGAAGACCAAACTGGGGAAAATGTCGAGCCATCAGTGGATCCACCTACTTCTCCCGGGGACGCAGACACTTCTCTTCCTCCTAGTTCTCGAGATACTGCAATTTAGATTTCCTTTTATTTTTCCCATTCTTGTACTTTTGCCGCTTTGGCAAGTTCTTGTAAATAAAAACATATTTTTTGCTCAAGTACTGTTTGAGTCTCACTTTTGTTTGAATATCCATGTAAGTCTTTAACCTTTGCATTTGCTTAAGAATTTTGCGCACGTTTTTCTATTCGCGCTTTATTATGTGTAACCTCGGATAAATTTTCCTCGAAGCACTTTGGTTCCGAGCATTAACCCTTTTACGTGAGGGTTTCTATAAGTATTTGTGCAAGTTTATTTTTTGCGTCCTTTCGTGTACGTCTTCGGGTGCATTTTTCCCCGAAGGCATTTTGATTCCGAGCATAAATTCTTCTGAAACCAACCCTTTAATGTGAGGGTTTTCTGTCACGACCCCAAAACCAACCCGGTCGTGATGGCGCCTATCATGGAACTAGGCCAGCCGACACAATCCCAAAACCAATCAATATTTTCATTCTTAGGATAAAATCAAAGCTATTTAACAATAAACCTTTATAAAGTGTTTAAAACTAAATAACAGTACGGAAAGAAAGCCCTACATCGGGGTGTCACTGGTCATGAGCATCTACTACAACCGCATGACAACATCAAGACCAACATGGCCGGAAAAATCACTGAATACAACTAAGGGAGAATAAGGAGGGAGGAAAGCATGGCTGTGATCGCCAGGCAGCTACCTTGCTAACTCCGATGAACCTACCATTGAGTA